GTATTGTGTCGATTGTGCTTATATTTCATTCGAGATTTAATTCAGACCTACACCTTTTCTTTGTTTAGGCACCTTTTCAAAACTAATCACTTTATTAAGTACATGATTTGATCTTCAAGGAAGTGTTCAAAAGCATTTACAGTAAAAGTCATTATCTTAGAGTTTGTATCTGAATTGTAATAAAGTCTAAGAAATTAAACCATTTCACAAAAAGATAGCTTGCCAGGCAAGGTAACATACGCCCACTGGCAGCTGTCAGAAATGATAAAACAGTCTTTAGTGACTAACGTATGAATTTTCTAATATTAAAGAAATAGTTTGAATTCAATGATATATATTAATTTACTGCCAGTTATTTATGCTGAGAAATTCAACCAAATTATCAAAAATCAATATCAATAACCAAAATACATCAAATTATCTCATCAAAATACATGATCAAACCATGTTTCATTAAAATCAATTGAACATTGTAGTCTCTAATGTGTTCACAAGCAAAAACTCAAAAACCGTTCATCAAAAGATTGTCAAATTCGAACTTGACCAAGATCTCATTAATATAAATGATCACACCAAATTTCATTAAAATCAGTTGAAAAATATAGTCTCTATTGTGTTCACAAGAAATGTTGACAGACGGACGGACAGGGGCGACGGCAATATACGTCCACATTTCCTTCTGGGCCTATAAAATCAGGATTAAACCTAATACTCTTTTGGTCATCAAATACCTCAGTTAGTCCAGAGTTCTTCCAACAATTGTACGTAACATGGTTTGAAAGCTTTTTTATCATTTTCAGATTCTTTTGGTACAGTTAAAGGACAGAAATCATCAAATCACAAAAACTCAAAATAAAAGTTATTACTTTCTTGTGAATTTTTTTTTTCATTTTTCAACAAGGTTCTTCTATTGGTGACGATTAATAGTTTCTTTGAATTCATGAATTTAGCACCAATGCAATTCTAGAAACATATACACATTTTTTAATTTTTGATTGGTTACTTCTTGATTCATTATAATTTCACCAAGTTTCGATCATTGTGCTTTCTACGGCTAATAATTAAATACATTTGGAAGAACAAGTGCAATAACTCATATTAAATTTGTTTTGATTTTTTAAATTTTCATAAGAGTTCATCCTATAATAATATTATAATGATATTAAACAATTTCATCCAGTTTTGATAACATAGGTCAAGAATTGTATCTCATAGAGTGTTTCCAATCAATAAAATTAACATGTTTCAAACTTTTATCGAATATTTTTAGTATAAAAGGTATAAATTAATTGCCAAAATTTTCAAGGCTGACACCTTGTGACCTAAACAAAGTTATTATCTGAACCTAACTTAATTTTCTTCTAGTTTCATATCATATTTAGGGATCTGTAGAACATGTGGTGAAGCCATCTATGTTTTAAGGATGGTATTTTCATTTATTCGTAAATATATTCATTAGCTCAAAGTTTTGATGTCAAAAGAAATCAAACCTCATATACACACATGTCCACTCTTACGCCAAGCTACAGTGGTCATTTTCACAAACTACCCAAAATAAAACTTCAATGGTAACGTCATCAACTGGCAGGAATTCTGGGAATCATACCACACATGCAGTCAGCATTAACCAGTCGCAGAAGCCCAGATATTCCAGTACTTGAAATTATACTTCAAACGGGCTTTGACCACAGTATCAAGATTTTCACTCACGAACGTGAATTACAACAAAAGATCATGTACTCGTACATGCAAACCTTATTAGACTTAGCCGCACCAGAGAGTACAGTTCAGTCATGATGCAACTTTAAGGACAGGTTAGAAACATTAATCAGAGGTCTAGAATCCATGGGAAAAACCAAGAATCATGTGTGTCCAATATTGGTGGAACTAATGTATTAATCTCAAATGGAAATAACATAACTATTGGCATAGAGTTTGATGTATGGACTGTCACAGATCGCACAAGTTTATCTTTTACTATTATTGAATTCTGGTATCAGACCAAGTTCCCATTTTCAAATTTTTTAATAAGTTTTGTGAGGCCATTTCTGTAGCCATTTCTGTAGCCATATGCCCAATCCTGGTCACGGCACCAAAATATAATATACAAAAGAGCAGAATCATGTAGGATCAGATGTATATTTTAACAACAGATTCAAACATGATGATGATAATGTGTATGAGATTCTTGATGTATGCTAACTCTGAAACAAATTTGGGCCTCATTTTTAATCTTTGACCTGAGCAATTTTGCAGCATATTATCGTGCTTTGGGTAATGACTTTTTCAAAATAATGAGTCAATTAGCATAGCAGGACGACAATAATTAACTTGTAAATAATTATTTATGAAGGGACTTCTATCATAGAAAGGTTACTTAAAAGAATTCTACCTCTTAGAATACACTTGTTCTACAGCTACAATTTGTATTTGACTGTGTTCATTGGTGAAATAAACATGCATTCCACACTTATTTATTTTTGAAAGAACGGCAATAGAACTAAATTTTGAGTTTGAAAAACTCTGTGAGCTGCTTTCGTTCGACTAACAAAGCGACTGGGTAATGAAATAAGGAATCAAAAATTGGCAATAGTCTTCAGGTGTAAATAGTAATTGGTAACATCTTCATCTTTTGTTTCAATCGTTCTTTTTTTTAGTTATGACACCAGGTAAGTCATATATAAATATTGGCCAAGTTTGAGCACAATTTAAAATTTATGTATCCAAGAGATAGTAAGTATCCTTTTAATGAATATTATCAGGACTCGAATTGAAAAGGAAAAGCCAATCAATGCGCTATCCCAAAATGGTAATCATCTCCCAGTACAGTCAAGTAACCTAATTTCGTGGTAGCCTATTTTCAGTGGATTTCCAGCAAGGATTAATAATTTACCTCCGCATTTGCTTGTTTTGATAAACATGGGTTTTCTGTACAATATCAGATAGTAGAATGAATCCAGTAGTTTCAAGCAAGATAAAAGGTAATAATGTATACTTTGACAAATACAAAATGGCGGATTTCACTTATTACCAAACATTACCATTTTTTATCGGCCGAATTTCCTTATAATCCCAAGCGGTAATCGGTGTGTCGTCTGCTAGAATGTAGTCCAACGAATGAAGTCACGTGATCAGCAGAAAATTTCTATGGAACACAAAGTGGACCATATTCTTATGTTGTTTCAGTGACTTTTAGCAATAAATCACGCTACGTATCTTATTTTGTCTGTCACTATTTTTGTTTTAAATCGTGGTTCTTTGAAGGAATTGTCACTAGTTATAATGAATTGATATTAAAGATAAATACTAAGAGAAGTTAATTATACCACCCAGTATCCATACAACAATTTTTTCTAGATTTATTTATAGATCAAACATTGTACACGAAAACATTCATGTGTACAGGTCAGGAAAAAAAATCTGGAGATTTGCCTTGAAAAATCTGGAGATTGGGTGAAAAGTCGGGAGATTTTTCCAAAGCGCGTAAATTCGTGATTTGAAACTCCAAGTTGATTGTTTTTTTCTTTTTTTTTCAAATAGGCTGTAAGCCTTGTAAATTAATTAAATTGATCATAGGCCTAGATGACACAGTTAAAATTAACAATCCATAATTATGGATAATTCTAGAAATAGTGCCTGATATTTCAAATTTAGGGGCCCAAAAAAAATTTGATATTATCATTCTTCAGTATTGATTGAATCAAAAATAATGTCAAGTTGAAAAGATGTTTGAAAACAAGAAAGCAAGCATGATCCCAGCCCTCTAAATTAAATGGTACCGGTAGGCCTACATGTAATACCATATTAAAAATCAGTATGCTCTGAAAGCAATATTTAGTAAATAATATGTACTGGCAATGTTACTTTTTCCAAAGGTGTAATTCATGTCATCTTAAATTCTCCAGTGCGATCATTAAATACTTTTCCTGCAACACTCTCACGAAGTATTGAACTGAATTTTCCGCTTCCATTTTGACGTTCTTCAGAAAGGAAAGACTTGTAATAAGTAAGCCCGTTATGCAGGCAATATAATGAATGTTTACAGGCTACAGTAAAATTACAAAACGATTTTATGAAACGAAGTTTGAGTTTACATAAGAATTAGACATCCAGTGGCGTATGATAATCTACCGATAATGAAAAATAATTCTGAAACGACGTCTATGTTATATAGGCCTATTATAGACCTCGCAGATTGAAACTGACGGTATAAAATACTGAGAAGACTTCAAGATTTCGTTTTTTAGTAAAAGTAGGGCTACCGTAAAATTTATTATAAAAGCGAAAGTAGAATTTACCAGATGTTGTTATAAAAAGTGTGTCATGTGGGCTTAAAATACACATTATCGGGCTAAAATAGATCAAATTACCATCTTAATTGGGGGATTAATTAATCAGGCAATGATAATATTATTACGTAATGAGATTAACGCATGTTACCGGCAATTAAGATACTAGTGATGATAGATATTTTGTTGATTTATGGTAGAGAATTTGAACATTGAAAACGGATCAGGAAAAAAAACAAAAATCGGTAGAATCGGGTGTCCCGCCAGTAGAGCGGTAGACAACATCCAAAATCGGTAGATTACACATGTATGCACGAAAATAGGTGACGCATTCTGCCACCGTTGCCGAGTTGGTTGTTCATGAAATATGGGTCAAAGTGAAGGATTAATAAAGAAAATCGAAATAAACCAATTTTAATTATTTTGTAGAATATCTGAGGAAACATCTAAGGCATTTGACGAAATTCGGTGTTGAATCCTTATATCCACGAAAATAGGTTACACCACTGTATATATAAACAAACTTTGCCAATGATGAATATTCGTTGAAAATTGGGTCAGTGGTATTTATTCTAAATTATATGAATTGCTTTTTCTCGGTCTTCCTTGAATTTATATATCGTACATTCTTCAAAAAATGTCTGATGATTAATTCAAGAGTAGAGGTCTTTTTGTGTGGAACCAGTAGAATGTGTGATAAAAACATTGACTCTACCTGGAATGTTTGTAGTTAGATTCATTTACATTACACCTAGCATCACCATCCCTCTTTGGTTGATCACAATTTAAGTATTGTTTCCATAAAGCCTTTAAAAAAAAATATAGACAGCTTAAAAAGTCTGCATTATTACTTAGGCAGAAAATCTCTACTTCTGCGGGACATATTAAGTCAATTTTTTTTGGTCAACATTTTCACATTACACATTATGAAAAGGATCGGAGAGCAAACTTCACTTATATAACACCTCCCTAAGAAATTATGTAAAGATGTAAAACATTTAAAAAGATAGTAAGTTAGAGACAAATATTGGTGGAATTTGAAGTTTACTTAGATTGTTGATTGTTGCGCATCTTAATGTTATTGGCAATAGATTAAATAATGTTTTAAATTAAGAGAATGCTTATAAACTTTCATCATAACTTAAAATACTGACAAAAAGCACAGCAAAGTCATAAGAGTGAGTAATTTCTCAATTTGTACAGTAATTGAAATGTGAAGATATTAAAGAAATAGAATAACCTTGAGAATTTGAGATCTCTGATGATTAAATTAAACCATTTGATTGGTTATCATTTAGCTTTACTTAAAACTCAAATTTACTTCCCTTGCCATCAATTCATGGAAGCTGCCATTTTCCTTTTGACATTGTGTCACGTTGTAGATGAACAATAATATGGTAACTTGTTAGAAAAGGTAATATATACACCCAATAACATGAAATAAGAAATATTCAGTCATTCACTTCTTTCAAACTTTTTTGTGTGATAATGTTATCATTGTGACAATGTGTTGTGTATTTCCGTTATCGCAAGATCTCGTTCTTTGTGAGACCTTGGTCTGGGAGTTCTAGTTTCATTTTAGAATTCGCGCACACAAAGAAAAAACATTGCCCAAGAAGTGCTCTAGTCCATCCATTTTATTGTTTCAAATGTATTGTATTGTATGTCATATTCCAGAGCAAAAACAATTTCACCAAGTTTCATCAAAATCTTTTTTCAAAATTAAAAAAAAACGTCTGAAATACAGCATTTTACACAATTTTTAATATTATTACATTTTTATTATGAAAAATGCACATTTTCACAGAAGGATGTAAGTTTGGGAATTTGGAAGGAGCCATGAAATCCACTTTGGTGCTGCAACTGTAACCAACTATAGATAAATCACCAATACAAATAATATATGTAACCTTTTATCTATGAACTATGAATTAAACTATAACTCTTGTTTAGATAAACACTTTGAGGGTTGACATTACCAAGGGTGGATTTAAATTATTCTTTCACTTTTCAACTTAATAACATACATGGTACAGATAAAGGTTGGCTGTCTGACCAGTTACTTCTGATTATGATTGACTCACATGATGGGGTCCCATTCATACTATTTGGAGACCCCAGTGGGATATTTTCAGGGTTTGGGCTTTACCAGGTTAATATGTATTGGGGTTACCAGTGTTAGTTTTTACTGGGGTGGGGATATAGTAGAGGTTTAAGCTAAGAAAAAGGTTTATTTTAGAATAGGGTTATGCCATTGATGAAGCTAGAGTGGAATATGTCCTCACTCATCAGCTGTAAAAGGAGAGATGGATCTTCCTCATCAGATCTCTATTTGTACAGATGTCGCTTCTGCTGGTGGAGGCACTGGTCCAGCTCTCAGCCGAGAAGATGTTAAATAAAGCCAAGCAGTCGCAATCCAAGTGTTCGAAATGTGCAGACCTATAGTGGTTGGGTAGTTTTGAATAATAATAGCTTCTGTAGTATCAGTGCTGAGTAAATATTTGCTTGAAAATCGATAAACATTACATCCAAGGAAAAAAATATCAAATATAAACTTACAGAAATTTGTTTCTGATGTTAACAAGTCGTTTTAGACTATGCTTTCAAATATGCTTAATGGTTGTTATGGCCCTTGAAAATGTAACAGAAAATTCGATGAGTGTGAACAAGCTGTTTCTGCTTAGTGTCAACCTTTGAGTGATGTAAATATCAAAGTGTATGTATGCTGACTAGAAGAACTTAATAGTATCAATATCATTCCAAAATGGCCACCTAGTTAAAAAAAAACGATTGTGTTTTAGCTCTTATTGTAGTTTACTAAATGTGGTAGTTACTTCAGTCTTAAGTATTTCAGTACCACAACTGCTATCTCACATGCTGAAGTATTAAATGAATTAGTAGTAAAATTATAGTAAGAAAGCTGCCCATGTCTACGGAAACTCAAATACGACATCTTTTTGAAATCTTGAATTTGTAAAAAAAAGAACTGAATTTGACAAAATAATTTTGAATTTGAAAAACTTTTGTGACTGTAATCAAGTCTACAAGAAAAGATAGCTTGCCAGACAAGGTAATATACGCCCACTGGCAACTTTGATTTTAAATAAATGAATTTTTAAGAACAAGGGCAATAACTCATACTAAATATTGTTCGATTTTTGTGATTTCGATAGGGTTCATCCTTAGGTGATTACAAACACTCACACCATGTTTCGTCAATATCCACAAAGAATATAATGTTTTCTAGAGTGTTTACGTAATAAAAATTGAACTCATTTTCAAGAACAAGGGCAATAACTCATACTAAATATTTTTTATTTTTCTGATTTTCAATAGGGTTCATCCTTGGGTGATAACAAAGACTCACACCAAGTTTCACCAAAATCTGCAAATAATTGAACCTTCTAGAGTGTTTACAGGCTAAAAATTGAATGCGTTTTCAAGAACAAGGGCAATAACTCATACTAAATATGTTTCGATTTTTCTGTTTTCAATAGGGTCATCTTTGGGTGATTACAAACAACCATACCAAGTTCTGTCGAATTCAGTCAAGAATTGTGTCTTGTAGAGTGTTTATACGAGCAATTGTGGACGGACAAACGCACGGACATGGGTGACCGCAATATACGCCCCCCATTTCATGTGTTCAATAAAATAGAAGACACAAAGATTTTTACTGGTCCATTTTTAGTTGATCCATAATGATGGATACTCTATAGCACAACACATGGATGGGTAAACATTCAAAAAAATAATCTGCTATAGAAAAACTAAGTAGTCCTAAAGTCCAACATGTTTCAAGAGCACAAAGGCTCCTTCCTACACATGAAATGTCAGTTGAAGTTCAATGATGTCAATTTCCTTTGTAGTTGCTAAGTAACATTCCAACATTCTTCTCATGGTAGGAATCCAATATGGCTTCATAAAATGATGATCGTTCAATAGTCTAAGCTAAGGAAGATACAGTGGGTTCAAAGGTTTAAGAAAGTGTTCAATAAAATAGAAGACACACAAACCATTTCACAAAGTTTTTGAGGCAGGAGTAGCTTCTTCTGTAAGAGCTGAATCTTTTCTTTTTGTCTCCAGTGTTAAAAGAATAGGACAAATGCACCAATTGTCCAAAAGAGCACGAAGGAACACTAAAATTTGACAAGAAATTTTGTGAGAGAAAAGCCCTAAAAAGAGTTTGCAGTTTTGTTTTCTAATTGGTCAGATCTTTCAAAGAATAGATTTATAATGTCAAGTATTGTAAGCTTGCATAAAATCTGTTGATAATTATGCCTTGAATGTGATTTCAAGAAAAGGGCAATAACTCATATTACATATATTTTTTTAATATCTAAAGGGTTCATGTACCTTACATCATTAGGAAATGATTAACAATTTCACCAATTTTCATCTACATCTGTCAAGAATTGTGCCTTCTAGACCTTTCACAAGTTAAAAAAATAAAAAAAGAGTTTTCAAAATCAAGAGCAATAACTCATATCAAATACTGTTCAATTTGCCTGATTTTCAATAGGGTTCATCCTTAGGTGATAACAAACACTGACAGCAAATTTTGTAAAAATCCCTCAAGAAACCAGCTCTCTATTGTGACGCGTTACAAGGGCAAGAACTCATATTCAATATTTTTTTATTTGTCTGATTTTCAATACAGTTTAACCATAGGTTATTACAAACTCTCAAAATCAAGTGTTGTCAAAATATGTCAAGAAACCAGTTCTTATCTGTCCACAACAATTGTGGACAGACAGACAGACAACCCACCTAATGAGAAAAATGTTGGAATGTTACTTAGCAACTACAAAGGAAATTGACATCATTGAACTTCCACTGACATTTCATGTGTATCTGTCCCTGAGGAGGGAGTCTTTGAGCACTTGAAACATGTTGGACTTTAGGGCTACTTAGTTTTTTCTATAGCAGATTATTTTTTTGAATGTTTACACATTAATGTGTGGGTGTATAAAAACTGGATAATACCCGTCAGAAAAATACCAATTAATAATTAATAATAATTAATGTATAGTGTTGTTTGCGGTCAGAATAAGTTGCAGCCTGAGCATCCAAGCTCTTAAATCGCTCAATGAATAATTCTGAGCAGTCAATAATGCCTCTAGCATTAGGAACATGTGTTCTAAATGATGTTCTTTTCACTTCCTCTTTTCCAGGATGGTATAATTAATTTAATGTGGTTAATGTCTAGAATAAACTGCAAATACCATCAAGCTTTCAAGTCTTACTGTCTAGTCCTGAAACAGTCTGTGTGATCTGATAATAAAATTACTGGCCTTGGCATCCAAATTTTGCCTTGAAAAGAATTTGACTCCTTACACACCAAAGGCTATAAATTTAGTTGTAGTACACAGTACTCTAAAATGTCAGATTGAAGGTTAGCATTAATACTATTCTTAATATTAAGAAGTAGGGCCTACACTGTATACGGTGTTTTGTTAAAATAAAGACATTTCTCGAGAAGCATTGGTTAGGATTTGGTGGTAGAGTAGCTGTGTGAGGTCATCTTAGAGTATTTCATTCAATTGTATCCATTAAGTGCCTGATTTTAAGAAAGACGAGCAAGCCTTTGCTAATGTCAATGTTTTGATAAATGTGAGTCATTCCTTACTGCACGGTCGTCATTATTCATAAGCTCAATTTGGAGAGGAAAAGTGATATGTAACAAAAAATAGAAAACTCTTGTTATGTCAACATAATATAGTTGCTACTTACTGATGTGTAATACATTGAAGGCCACCCTCTTGTTGTCACATATGACTTATAATTGATGGTTCTGAAAAAAACAACAAATAGTAACAAATGGCTGATAATTAAAAGTTATAGAACTTATCAACTGATACTTTCAATGTCTATTTCTGGTTTAACAACCATCCTTAAACAGCAATTTTCACAAATTTTGGCTGTTCGGACCTCAATAAACAATAGTTTTTCATGCAAAAAAATACATTTTGGACTGCCTTTTATTCATTGAGTTGTGAATATTTCAAGGTTTTACACAAAGAATTGTAAATTATTCTTGTTAAAAATAATTCGGCAAATTCAGTATAATATAATGAGGAGACAAGTCAGTATAGTATAATGAGGAGACAAGTCAGTAATAGTATAATGAGGAGACAAGTCAGTAATGGTATAATGAGGAGACAAGTCAGTATAGTATAATGAGGAGAAAAGTCAGTATAGTATAATGAGGAGAAAAGTCAGTATAGTATAATGAGGAGACAAGTCAGTAATAGTATAATGAGGAGACAAGTCAGTATAGTATAATGAGGAGACAAGTCAGTATAGTATAATGAGGAGAAAAGTCAGTATAGTATAATGAGGAGACAAGTCAGTAATAGTATAATGAGGAGACAAATCAGTAATAGTATAATGAGGAGACAAGTCAGTAATAGTATAATGAAGAGATAAATCAGTATAGCATAATGAGGAGACAAGTCAGTAATAGTATAATGAAGAGATAAATCAGTATAGCATAATGAGGAGACAAGTCAGTATAGTATAATGAGGAGACAAGTCAGTATAGTACAATGAGGAGACAAGTCAGTAATAGTATAATGAGGAGACAAGTCAGTAATAGTATAATGAGGAGACAAGTCAGTAATAGTATAATGAGGAGACAAGTCAGTAATAGTATAATGAGGAGACAAGTCAGTAATAGTATAATGAAGAGACAAGTCAGTAATAGTATAATGAGGAGACAAGTCAGTATAGTATAATGAGGAGACAAGTCAGTAATAGTATAATGAAGAGATAAATCAGTATAGTATAATGAGGAGACAAGTCAGTATAATGAAGAGACATATAAAATAATACTTACTTGCATGGACGAGGGCAACCACCAAAATTACAAGCTTGTAAGAGTGATTTATTTCTCAGTACTAATGCTTCAGCTATCTTTTCACAAGTCACTTCTGAAAAGCATATAATTCAAATGTAGTGAATTGACATTTATGACATTTACTGAACACTACCAAGTATTGACTCAGCGGTGTTGCATCTAAATTTGCAATTAAAAATAACCACTTTTACAAGCCAATGTTTCCTTTGATTAGCCAAAATTAATATTTATCATGAAAACCTGTCTCCATCTTCAGGCAGCTAATTTGAATAAGCTGCCAGTTGCGCTCAAATTAGCATGATAGAATATATTTTATTTTAATCCAATTTGGATAAAATTTGATTTATAAAATCTATGAAGGGTTTGAAGAATATAATTCTCTGAACTATCTTAGTTATTGGCCATGGTTTGAATCCTTTTCAAAGTAAGAAAAATGTTGATTCCCGTGCTAGTGCTTTTGACAGTTGGCCCAGTGTCGGCATTTACCCCATAGGCCCTAATATCTATCCTATGAATACCTCTTTGAAGGGGTTAACAACTTTTTAACTGTGTAAACGTCAATATTTCCCTCTAACACAGTGGAATAACTCAGTAGGTAGCATGATGGATTGTTGTGGGTGTGGGTGTGTCTGTGCCTCTGAGATTTTGCTTTCACCCGCTTAGAAAACAACCAAATATACATTAATAGATTGACTTTGATCTTAGATGGCTGTGATGGTACATAATGAACTACTTATATGCAAATTTGGTCATGTATTCATGCACCATGTAAACCCAATAAAGACTCAGTTAAAATGAAGGGAGGGGGCATGAAATTGTTGAAAATATCATAACTTTGATAAAAAGTTTCAATTTAGCTACTACATAAACATGTGTATCTAGATCTTTTTTGTTATACGTAAGGACACTTTGCAGAAAGGTACAAAAAAGATGGACCTAAAATGAAGGCATTGTATAAAAAAATTGCACATAAGTGCCCTTATTCAAGGATTGAATGAATGAATTTTCACGTTTTGATTCAAATTAACATTCTACATTCACTCCTTATATTTACTTTCGGTAGTGTTCAGGAATCTTTCATTGTAATTTTAAGGATAAAATTATTGCCATGATATAGTTAAGTCTATCATTATTGTCAGAAAAGTGAGAAAAGTGTGAGAAAAGTGTGAAAAAAACACAACTCCTGTCAATTAACTAAAAGAAACTTTCAGAAACTAAGATTTATTCCATAGTCTTATAAATTTAGTTATGTTTGTTATGTATACACTGCATCACAAGTTGTCACAGGTGATCACTTCATTACCACATACGAGATCGCAAAGTAAATAAGTAATTCATCAGTAAATTGAATGCAAATTTCTAACAAAGTTTCACTGTAGCAGGAGACACCAGGCAACTTATTTCATATTATATAAACACTCGTGTAAGATCCTTACAAGATTATTCACAATCATTACGTCACATACTTACTTTCTTCTGAACATATTTCATCACTGATGTCTTCCCTGTAGGCATCAGATGATATCATTGGGTAACAGCCACAGTATTCTTTAGTTATATTACCAAGACACATAATTCTACATACCTTAAAGCAAAAACATAAATTAAATCACACTGACCTTTAAGATTACATATTTTGTGACGTAAATCATCAAATTGCTTGCAAGTAAATCATGGTAGAAGAAAATGATAGTAAATATGAAATGAGATTTCACCACTGTACCATGCTTGATGTATTATTACTAAACTAAGGCCAATAACTAAGATAGTTTAGTTTATCTTCTTCAGTGATTTTATGAATTAAAAAGTAATAAATAAAATATATTCTATCATGCTAATTTGACCGCACCAACTAAAAAACTGGCAGCTTATTCAAATTAGTTGTCTGAATATAGAGACAGGTTTTCAATATATACTAAATCAGTTAAATTTTCTCCAAACATCATGTGACCACACTAAAGGATCATAATGCAAATTGAAAAGATATGCGAATCATATCAAGGTCTATATGACGTCATTAAAGACTTAATCAAAAGTGAGAAAATGGGCTTCAAACTGCCCTTTCTCGGAAATGTGTGAAGGTAAACTTCATCTGTAAGCATCATTAACTAGCTAAATCAATTTTTTATATTTAATGATGTAAAATATGAATAGTTTTGAGTTAGTGGGATTGGAAAAGGAGAGGATAAAGAAGTCAAGGTGATGATTTCACTGCAGTTTGATTTATAAGCTTCTATCTGGCTTTAATGGCATCATGAGCTGTTAAACTAAATATAATAATGATGGAATATATATTTAGAAAAACAAGTGGTTACCTAAAAAGATACGCCCACTTCCCTAATAAATTTTCAATATAATTATTAGGGTGCGCATCTGTGTCAATCACGTTAATAAGCTACATTAAACATAATATAAGTCTATCAAGGGTTGAAACTCTGTTATCCTTTGTTGAATAATACCCAAGTTTGCATTCAAATTTGTTCAAGATCTTGTTGATATAAAGCTATCAACAAATTTGATACAAATTGCTGTTCACTCTATCGCGATCACATGTCAGTTGTGAACAGACGGACAGGGGTGATGGTACATTATAATGTGGGGCCTACATTGTTGGCATATAAAAAATGTTAACATGTAGATTCTTGAAGATACAAAAAATTTTACCTACAAGTAATGTGTCAGACAATACTTGAAATGACCAAATTTTCTATAAATTAACAGGAGATAGTTTGATTTGCATGATCTTTATGATATTTCTTGTGATAAGAACCTACAAAAAGTAAATATTTTCTTGAAGAAGAATAAATTGTGGATGTTATGTTAAAATATTTAAAACTTCTGTACTTTCATGGTAACCATAGCAACATCCATAAAGTCTTTTGTGAACAATAACTACAGTAAAAACCTCATTAAATTTTCAATCATAACAACATTTTATTAACAATTGATAAAATTAACTATCAACAATTACAATAAAAATGCATATTCACTGCAAAAAACTTAGAATATGTTATCACAAATGTAGAAATTTTGATCATATTTGGATTTCTGTAAATTGCACAGGTGCAATATAAATTTAAAATTAACAAAGACAATAACAATCCATATTTTACAGTATATTTTATATGTCACCAAGGCAACCAAAAGAAAACTGGCTATTTAATATTAAAAAAATCCCATTTTTTTATGTACAATAAAGGCTTGAACAGTAGAGAGTCTAACAAATAAAAAAAGAAATTGCATACACCAAGTCAAAGATTTCATACGACGTCTATATGAAGCAACACGTGATATGATTGACAACTCTAGTATCTTTCCAGCTTACTGCCAAAATATTGTTACACATTCACTTCAAACTTTCACCTTTTTTCAGTTTTTAGTTGAGCTGTTTTTCATGTCAGTTGGAAGTTGTTTACAGTTCCACAAGACAATGTGTTTTCTTTGGCGAGTTCAATGCTGGTATAGTATTTGTCAATAAATAATTAGTGACCTCTGTTAATATTTTGCTGACAAACAGCAACAACAATTTGAGCAGTTTTAGATAATTGGGTGTCTTCTCTTTTTCCAGCTTAGGGTATAAATATTTATAACATATCCACTAGATGACTCTGCTAATGTAAACAGTTTTATTCCTCACTTTATAGGCTTGTTCTAAATATATTGTTTTATTCCAAGTCTTCCTCTGAATTTCAACATAGTTTCATCAACAAATCACGTTGTGGGTTGTACATCTGTTGAAAACGCCATGTGTCCTAATTAAGCCATGTTTTTAATTCACGCACTGAAATATTAGTCCAATTCTTTACACTGCTCAACATACCTGTTAGTTTCCAAAACAATATCTACGAAAATATCATCAGTAAAAAAAGTTGAAATAAATCCATAGCTTCAAAATGTTCAATACCTTCGATATCTTTATCACACAAACCAAGTGCTCATAAACAAATTTACATCGGGTTTCCCTTTTATTAGAATTTAGAAGGTCAAGGTAAACTTCCCGAACTTTGACCCACTAAACTTCATGGATGTAATATTGTAATCTGTCTCACCTGTAGGGAGTGTTAAGGGACATTCCACTTTTTTTATGCTCAATTTGTGAAAACTATACCCCCAAATATAGAGAAAAGTGTCCCGAAACACACCCTAAAGATTTAACAAAAAAAATCCTACCGTTATTTTTTTGACGTTAAAACTTTTTAAAAAGTTAATGTATGTTTATGTTAAACTAAAGAAGAAAAGTGGGAGTGTCCAAGTTTAGTTTTTGTCATTGATTCCGTGTGGTTGGAAACTTTTTAATCTAATGATCCAGTGTAGTTCTATGGAACGCCAGTTGGCTGTGGCTGTATTGGCTATGGTCCGGGTTGGTGTTAAGTTGTTTAATAATTTGGTAGTCTAGATTTCGACTAGAGTGGAAGTGAGAGGCAACTGGTGTGTCTCTCTTATGATGGATGTCAGCAAAGTGTTCTTTCAGCCTAATGCAGAACAATCTTTTAGTCTCGTCTACATATTGTTTATGACATAAGTTGCATGTGAGGAGGTAGATAAGGTTTCTACTAGTGCAGGTCCATGTTATTGAACAGGTGTAGGATTTTTGAGTTTTAACGTGTTGCAGTATGTGCAATTATGAATATTACAATCTGTCTCCAGATATTTGTAAACTTTCCCACTCACTTATATTTTAGGTATGGGGTTTGGGATGGTAGCTGAAGTGAGTAGATCTTTGAGAGTAGGATTTCGTCTGTATGCTGTAAGACAGGGTAGTGGGAATGGTTTATTGCAGTCATTGGAACTGGAAATGATGTGCCAGATTCTTTAAAGATCTTGCTGATGTGAACCGAGGTGGGATTGTAGTCTGTTACAAAGACTGGACGTGAGTGGCCCTCCCGTGTTTTTTGTTTATTGAAAAGGGATGTCCTTTCGATGATGTCGGCTTTGGATCTGTTAGATTCTATGATATCCCTTGGGTAACCCCTGTGTAGATAATAACGTACAATTTGTTTGCGTGAAGTTTGTAATTTGCTGGGTCTGAGCAAATACGTTTAGGTCTAAGAAATTGGCTGTAGGGTCCCTTACGTTTAATATGGGGAGGGTGACAAGAAGTGTAAGCTTGTAGTGTTTATTATTAAATACGAAGTTGTTTTTCGTGAGTACAAGTTTAAGTAGTGCCAGTATGTTGAGAGGGCTAATTTTCCAGTCCGGTTTGTGTTTATGAATGCTTTTGACTGTTGCTCTAAGGCCTTCGTCATTAGGAATGTTCCTGTAGAGTGAAGTAACATCCATCAGGTTCTAGTGTTAGATCTAATGTTTCTAATCTTTGGATAAGTGGGTAGTGTCTCTGATTTTTGTGAGGAGATCGGTTATTTCCCTATTGAACTTCGAAGTGGGGTTTATAGAACAGCTGATTAGAAAGTTGTCTTTCTGCTTCAGATATGTAATCGCATTTGTTAAGGATTACCAAGGCTGAGCCTTTGTCAGCTTTTTTGATGATGATGTCTGTGTTTGTTTTGAGTGTGCCTACAGCTTCCCTTTCTTGGTTGGAGAGGTTGTTCCTCTTAAATTTGATTGCATCTAGATTTAGAAGTATGCGTTTGACAACGCGGAAGAAGATTTCTAAGTTTAGGTTGGCTCATGGGTTGGGGGTCTAGGTGCTTCTAGGAGCGAACTTCTGTTCCAATTGGAGATTGAAAGTATTGGCACGTTTGGGGGCATTGGCGATGTGATAAGTCTTCTCATTTTGCGGAAGAGGGTTCTGAGATCTAGGAGTGTCTTATTTAGGTCTATGCCAGTTGGGGTTGGCCTAAAGGTGAGTCCTTTATTTAGAAGAGAGATTTCATATGTGCTCAGGTCCAAGTGGGAGAGGTTAACAACAGACTACTTTGTGTAAGATTTAGAGGGTTTATTAAGGCGAACATTACATTTCGTGTGAGGCGTTTGGTTTTGAGTGTCATCATTATCATTGTTACAGTTGGAGCTAACGTTGAGGTGTTCTACAATTTCCTGAACCTTCTTTTAGATCTTGTATTGGTGGGCGTAGGTGTTAGGGATCCGTTTTCTGAAGGAGGATCGGGAGCGAGTCCTCTTATATTGTTGTTGTTGAATCTGGCCAACCTTGGATTGGGTTGGGTTGGTTGGTTAGGTGTTCTGCCTCTTCCAGTGAAGTGTTTACTCTGGAAAGGATCTTCTTGTCGTGTCTCAAGACTTAGTTGATCAAAACGGGGTTGGAGTTTCGACTTTCCCGTGGTGACCTCTCTGTCTATGACCGCTGTTGATAGCTAACTCAGATTCCTGTAGTTGCCCATCATCACAGATTTCCGTGAGTTTTTCTTGAGCTACCTCTCTCTGGAACAAATCTGCCAGGTGTTGGGTGTGTATCATTAAAATCGTGAGACAATATTCTTTTGTGGCTCGGTTTTCTGCGCTGCTTGTATCGTATGTGGAATTGCCAGTCTTGGCCTGAAGGAGGATGGCTGCTAGGCACACTTCGTAGAAGTCTTCTTGTACTTGGAAACAAACGATTTTGCTTCTGATATTCCTGACAGTTTTGTAATAGGGAGGATATTATCAGGTAGGTTC